TCATTTCATATGTCCCGGTTAGTTAGCGCCCGGTAGATATTTTCTCCAGGTCCTGCTGCTTGTATGTTGGGAAAGGAGCAGAGATAGACTGGCCGGTTCGGCACCACTAGGTGGCCACTTGAGGTCTGACAAGTTAGATGTTGTCAAAGTTCTTTGGTAATGAGTGAACAGTGCGGAGGCTCAAATAGATAATTAAGGTCTTGTGAGAATGGCACTGCAAGGAGTTACCAGGGGATCTGACCGGTGCTCAGCACTCAAGGGGAAAGGCGAGACGGATGTACAATCAGACAGTTACTGGTGCTATCGGAATTTGAACTTTTCACCTGCTGCTGAAGATGGGAACGAAGCGCTTATGGGAGTGCACCGAGTGCTATGATGTCGATTTCTAATTCAACATTCAATTGTGTAAATTTAGGTGGTGTGTGGCTGTACGTGCATATTTAGGTCGTTGTGTGTGTATTGGTATGTTTGAGTGTGGGCGTATGTGTGGGTGTGTGTATATATGTATGTTTGAATGCATTGATAACTGTGTATATGTATGTGTATGTGTGTACGTATTTGTGTTTGTATATACACAATGGGGAGGGGGGATATGCTTGGATGTATAGGTATGAATGCATCTGTATGTATAAGTGTTGTAAATGCTGATTTATGAATATGTCTGTGTTTATGTGAGTGTGAATGTGTGTTTGTAAGAGTAAGTGCATTAATGTTAAGTATGGGTGTGTATACATATATGCGTGTATATCTGTTCTTGTGTTTGTATATGAGCGCATGTGTGTATAAAGCTAATTGTACATCTGTGTTTGTATGTATATATATATGAGTAATGGTGTATCTATAGGTATGCATGAGTGATGGTGCATATATGTGAATGCAAGAGTTTTGTGCATATTTGTGTATATACGAGTGTGGATGTATGTATGTATTATCATGCGTTTTGATGCCTGTATGTATGTGCACGAGTGTTGGTGCATGTATGTGTGTGCACGAGTGTTGGTGCATGTATGTGTGTGCATGAGTGTTGGTGCATGTATGTGTGTGCAAGAGTGTTGGTGCATGTATGTGTGTGCATGAGTGTTGGTGCATGTATGTATGTGCAAGAGTGTTGGTGCATGTATGTGTGTGCACGAGTGTTGGTGCATGTATGTGTGTGCATGAGTGTTGGTGCATGTATGTGTGTGCATGAGTATTGGTGCATGTATGTGTGTGCATGAGTGTTGGTGCATGTATGTGTGTGCATGAGTGTTGGTGCATGTATGTGTGTGCATGAGTGTTGTTGCATGTATGTGTGTGCATGAGTGTTGTTGCATGTATGTGTGTGCATGAGTGTTGTTGCATGTATGTGTGTGCACGAGTGTTGGTGCATGTATGTGTATGCATGAGTGTTGTTGCATGTATGTGTGTGCATGAGTGTTGGTGCATGTATGTGTATGCATGAGTGTTGGTGCATGTATGTGTATGCATGAGTGTTGGTGTATGTATGTGTGTGCATGAGTGTTGGTGCATGTATGTGTATGCATGAGTGTTGTTGCATGTATGTGTATGCATGAGTGTTGTTGCATGTATGTGTATGCATGAGTGTTGTTGCATGTATGTGTGTGCACGAGTGTTGGTGTATGTATGTGTGTGCATGAGTGTTGTTGCATGTATGTGTGTGCATGAGTGTTGGTGCATGTATGTGTGTGCAAGAGTGTTGGTGCATGTATGTGTGTGCATGAGTGTTGGTGCATGTATGTATGTGCAAGAGTGTTGGTGCATGTATGTGTGTGCACGAGTGTTGGTGCATGTATGTGTGTGCATGAGTGTTGGTGCATGTATGTGTGTGCATGAGTATTGGTGCATGTATGTGTGTGCATGAGTGTTGGTGCATGTATGTGTGTGCATGAATGTTGGTCCATGTATGTGTATGTGCATGATTGTTGGTGCATGTATGTGTGTGCATGAGTGTTGTTGCATGTATGTGTGTGCATGAGTGTTGGTGCATGTATGTGTGTGCATGAGTGTTGTTGCATGTATGTGTGTGCATGAGTGTTGTTGCATGTATGTGTGTGTATGAGTGTTGGTGCATGTATGTGTGTGCACGAGTGTTGGTGCATGTATGTGTGTGCATGAGTGTTGGTGCATGTATGTGTGTGCATGAGTATTGGTGCATGTATGTGTGTGCATGAGTGTTGGTGCATGTATGTGTGTGCATGAATGTTGTTGCATGTATGTGTGTGCATGAGTGTTGTTGCATGTATGTGTGTGCATGAGTGTTGTTGCATGTATGTGTGTGCATGAGTGTTGTTGCATGTATGTGTGTGCATGAGTGTTGGTGCATGTATGTGTGTGCATGAGTGTTGTTGCATGTATGTGTGTGCATGAGTGTTGTTGCATGTATGTGTGTGCATGAGTGTTGTTGCATGTATGTGTGTGCACGAGTGTTGGTGCATGTATGTGTATGCATGAGTGTTGTTGCATGTATGTGTGTGCATGAGTGTTGGTGCATGTATGTGTATGCATGAGTGTTGGTGCATGTATGTGTATGCATGAGTGTTGGTGTATGTATGTGTGTGCATGAGTGTTGGTGCATGTATGTGTATGCATGAGTGTTGTTGCATGTATGTGTATGCATGAGTGTTGTTGCATGTATGTGTATGCATGAGTGTTGTTGCATGTATGTGTGTGCACGAGTGTTGGTGTATGTATGTGTGTGCATGAGTGTTGGTGCATGTATGTGTGTGCATGAGTGTTGGTGCATGTATGTGTATGCATGAGTGTTGTTGCATGTATGTGTGTGCATGAGTGTTGTTGCATGTATGTGTGTGCATGAGTGTTGTTGCATGTATGTGTGTGCATGAGTGTTGTTGCATGTATGTGTGTGCATGAGTGTTGGTGCATGTATGTGTGTGCATGAGTGTTGTTGCATGTATGTGTGTGCATGAGTGTTGTTGCATGTATGTGTGTGCACGAGTGTTGTTGCATGTATGTGTGTGCACGAGTGTTGGTGCATGTATGTGTATGCATGAGTGTTGTTGCATGTATGTGTGTGCATGAGTGTTGGTGCATGTATGTGTATGCATGAGTGTTGGTGCATGTATGTGTATGCATGAGTGTTGGTGTATGTATGTGTGTGCATGAGTGTTGGTGCATGTATGTGTATGCATGAGTGTTGTTGCATGTATGTGTATGCATGAGTGTTGTTGCATGTATGTGTGTGCACGAGTGTTGGTGTATGTATGTGTGTGCATGAGTGTTGGTGCATGTATGTGTGTGCATGAGTGTTGGTGCATGTATGTGTGTGCATGAGTGTTGGTGCATGTATGTGTGTGCATGAGTGTTGGTGCATGTATGTGTGTGCATGAGTGTTGTTGCATGTATGTGTGTGCATGAGTGTTGGTGCATGTATGTGTGTGCATGAGTGTTGGTGCATGTATGTGTGTGCATGAGTGTTGGTGCATGTATGTGTATGCATCAGTGTTGGTGCATGTATGTGTGTGCATGAGTGTTGGTGCATGTATGTGTGTGCATGAGTGTTGGTGCATGTATGTGTGTGCATGAGTGTTGGTGCATGTATGTGTGTGCATGAGTGTTGGTGCATGTATGTGTGTGCATGAGTGTTGGTGCATGTATGTGTATGCATCAGTGTTGGTGCATGTATGTGTGTGCATGAGTGTTGATACATGTATGTGTATGCATCAGTGTTGGTGCATGTATGTGTATGCATGAGTGTTGATACATGTATGTGTATGCATCAGTGTTGGTGCATGTATGTGTATGCATGAGTGTTGATACATGTATGTGTATGCATCAGTGTTGGTGCATGTATGTGTGTGCATGAGTGTTGGTGCATGTATGTGTATGCATCAGTGTTGGTGCATGTATGTGTATGCATGGGTGTGGGTGCAAGTATATTTATGCATGAGTTTGTGTGCACATTATGTGTATGTATAAGTAAATGTTTCTGTGTAGGCAAGAGTATATGTGTCTGTATACATTAATGTATGTTTAAGTGGTATGATTGTCTGAATGCACGAAAGTGTATGTTTGTTTTTAATGTATGGGTGTGAATGAATGTGTGTATGTGTTCGTGTAAGTATGTATTGTACGTGTGTGTATGTGTATGTGGGCGAGGTGTATGTATGTGTGCCCATCTATTTGTCATTCATGCCGGTTTTTTTTTTTTACATATGATATTTATTTTTTGTAAACTGTTATATGAATGACAAATACACTTGCCGTCTCAATGATGTGTGTTTGATAGGGCCGAATCTAAGACGCGTAATGAGTATTATCTGAAAGGGGTATCTTAGCTTGCCGGCTAGGGAGTAGTAACTAAAATGAGTGGCAGAATTGGTCGGAGACTATACAGAAAATCGTTAAATGTAAACAACATACACAATGAGTCTCATACAGTTTGCACAAAAAGTTTCAGAGGCGGCTAAATGTGGGTCATTACATTCCGAATACTGCTCCTATTTTAGAGGGAAAACATGAATTCTTGTTCTCTTCTCCTTTTCTGAGTGTGCCTCGAAAAGTCGCACGCCCTGATATGTGTAGTGTTCTGGTTTTTACAGGCTATGTTTTAAGGACATCCTTAATTGACATCTCTGTGAATTACAGACGGGTGAAAAATGGTGAGATCTGTTTCCACTAACGTATAATGATGTGTGCAAACGGGACATGGATGATACAGGTATTGATGTAGAGCAGTATCCCACAGAGCATGTTGCACGCAGATGAAAAAATCAGGCAGCGAATATGGATAGAAAAGAAAACGATCGGAAATGTAGAAGAAGCACATTAGGTTCAAGCTTGGGCGACAATGGCCCTGAAATCACATGCCCTAATTGTGGAAGACGTTTCTTAACGCCAAAGGTTGTTGCTAGTTACACTCGCCATCGCCATAGGCTATGATTCCAACGCACAATATAACATTTGGTAAGATACAAGTGGGCCAACAGGAGGATAGCTAGTTTTGACGCATGTCAAATTTAATCTGTTTAATGTCTAATGAATTAATTACAGCCCCATTTTTGGGCAATCATCTCTGAATAGCTGATGGGTTTCTTCATCCATTCGATGACCATCTTGGGCGTCACTATCCACACGTCCTTGTGAGTGGCCTGCAGGTGTTGGAACCATTTGACGAGGGCATCAAACGAAGGCGGTGACCGTATGAACATAGAGCCATGAGTGAACAGTTGCATAGGAACTTTCGGTCCGTAGAAATAGTTGAAGTTTGTTCTGAAACAAGAAAGTGAAAGCTGTTGATGGTCAATATACTCACACCTCGCCTTTACTGACCACTGTTTCAAGGCTATTGGAAGCAGTGGCACCGAAAAGGCTTAGGTACATTGAGCAACATTGTGTAAATAGGTCATATTCTAATTGACAAGTATCGGACAGGTCTTCGCACCAGTCAAACCGAGCGGTGGGAGTGTGTGTTAAATTAATAGACTCTAAGAGTAGTGCAATGATCAAGTCATGTCGAGCATTATAAGGAAGGTAGCAGGCGGGTATTGTGAATGACTTGAAGGAGGGGAGCACAGAAAGAATAACAGACAATATAGACAGACAAATAAGTTGCAGAAACATTTATAGGTATCTTAGGTTCGAAAGTACAAGTAGTTGATTTTTAGCTTCCAGGTCGACCCTGGCGAAAATGAGTACCTGACAATGTTATTGGAAGTAAAGTCGGCCAGTACGACGTTAATCACATCACTCACAGAGTGCCAAATTTTCTTTTTCTGTCCGTCCTCTTTTACCGCTTTGAGTGTTCGAGGGAGACACAAGGTTCTGCTTTTTGCTTTTCTGACCGCCTGGTCAATAGACACATTGCGCTATTGAGGAGTTTCGCTGATATTATTCCTCCATCTTGTTCTTGGTCTACCTCGTTATCTGTATCCTTATCCTCTGTTGGTGTACACCTTGAATGTACCGATTGGTCAATAAACATGCGAGTCTAGCATTATATGCTCGAAGCACATCTGATTTAAAAGGAGTCCTTTGCCTTGCTTCTACTAACCCTGGTCGAAGAGATGCTATTGAGGTACCTTAGCCACACCCATGAGGCGTTTCACAATCTAGCGGAGGGAAGACACACAGAGATCCTATCCAAACATTGAACTACCATTAGCCCTTTTGCTGAGATACATAGTAGGCAAGTGGATGGAAATAGTAGGGAGAAAAGAAGAAGGAAGGAGGCGAAGAAATAAGAGAAAGAGGTAGAAATAACAAAGGTGAAACAGTCTACCTACTCATAAAATGAGGTCCACTCCTCCTCGTTGGCTGTGAATACGTTGGAGCCGACACTGCATGTATCAATCATACTACAGCTGTAGTTATTGCTGCCCATGAGGCCATTGATCGGGACCTCCCAAAGTCCAGGATAAGGTTTTGTCGGACAGGGAACGTTGGGGCACCTGGTTTGGTACACCAAAATGTAAAATAATACACATTATTCAAGATTATGTTTCAGGATTTTCACCCAACGAAATATCGTTGACAAGAGGCTGAAGAAGATCGTTGTTGTAAAACTGCAGACAGTTTCCGAAAAGGAAGAGCTCCTCCAAGGATGTTTGAGTAGCTACCGGCCAGGGAAATATAACTGATTAAAGGCAGTTCACTTTTGCTTTCGATGTTTATGAGGGGTTCCAGAATAGTCAGGAATAATGTTGTGGCAGTAATTAATATTTTGAAATTGCTCGGTTAGTGAATCCTCTGGAAATCTGAGTTGTGTTTCACTCTTAACGTGTAAGTTCAACTGCTGTCTTGAAACGTGCTTGCATCTATCGGAGTGAGGTTGCTGTGGCGACTCTGTTCCCTAGCCTATACCAAAGAACCATATCTGCTGGACCTGACTGTATTTACTCACCTTACGTTATCTGTACTCTTGTTACTATATTTACTCTTCGCCTTTGAGTTGATAAACTGGCCGGTTTCTGCGCCATTTGGTGGTGATTTCATGCCTGATAAGAGAGATGGTGTAAGGATTCTTTGTGAGTGAGTGGATATTGTGGGAATACAAATAGATCATCCTCACGGTCTCGGGTAAAAGGGTGATGCGAGAAGTGACCGCGAGATCTAGTCGACGTTCAACACTCAAGTCAACGACCAGACGGATGTACTATGAATGTTACTGGTACCATCCGAATTCGAAGTCTGCGTTAGATGCTGAAAATGCGGACGGAGCGCTCATGCGAATGTCCTGAGAGCTGTGATGTGGATTCTTAATTCCATATTCAACATTCAATTTATATACAAGTACTTGGGTAAATGATAAAAACAGCTGTAAAATATTTTGAAGAAGTTAAATGTAGACTAGTTCAAGCAAGGTCAGCAATTCACAAAATAAAGAATATTCTTTGTCATCTTTTTTGTGTGGTCAACTCAGGTGAGGAAGATAATTCCTAATAACTCTACAGTTCCAGTCATGATATACGGAAGTGAATCATCGACTTTTAGTCATCTGGGAATAAATTACGTTGAAACAGTCAGTAGAGATGTGGCTTTACAGACGAATGATGGAAACAGCATGGACAAATAAAAAAGGATAATTAAGATGTATTGAAGAACATTACCTCATGCAAGTAACTGATCACCCACATCAGAAGAAGACAGTTTACATTATGTGGTATGTGAAGTGAAGGAGAAAGCTGGTGTAGATGCTGATGACGATGGGAAATTCGGATTAGAACAAAGGAGAGGATGACTGAGATAGAAGGCGTTGGTCGTTGGCCAGTTAAACATCATTGTATGAAATATCGCCTACATCGGAAATGACTGATAGCATAGAAACAGATGGCTGTGGGTAGACATGACTACCAACGCCACAGAGCATAGACTATAAGAAGAAGAAGAAATTTACTATAGTTTAACTAAAGTACATGACTTTCTTATACAGAAAGTTAAACAATCGCACCTGGGCATGACGTAGTCCAGAGTGAAAGGATATAAAGGCGGCCTGCCGGAATAGATCTCAACGTTTGTGATGGAGGTGTCGTAGAGAAAACGACTGTCACGCAGGGCATCAAACATGACGTTATGGGTAACCAAGAGGTATGGTGCCCGGAAGCCACTCATCAAGTCACTGATCGCTTTGTCGCCTGTCCCTTGGAAAACTTTCTCCCTCATACCGTCAATCTGCAGAAGGTAAGGAAAGTTACTACATTTAAGTAATTGTAATCACATATAATCTCAGGAAGGGGTAGCGATCATGCTTCATAATCTTGTATATTGCACACACAAAACACACACAAAAATAAAAAAAAAAAAAAAAGCCAGTTGTCCGTTATCTCACAAAACTAACAGTATGGGATCAGTTCTGTGTTGTATTCTGCATAGAAATGAGATTTTTAACATCATGACACTGATAAATGTGTTGAAACAAAAGAAACGCCTAGCTACTGACAGGAACCTAATGTGTCATAATTTTGCCATTCAAAATCTGTTTAATTTAATAAGTGAAACTAAATTGTACACAAAAATACACTATAGTTGAACCAGACAATTGACAGTATTCATTCGGGTTTTTATGTGTGCAGGCTTTTCCTTCCACTAATAATAACCCGCCATCAAAGAAGTATAAGTTTTCTTTTTTTTTCCAACAGGAAAGAGTCATCAGAGAACTATGCATTTCTCTTTATTTTAACAGTGTGTGTGTGTGTGTGTGTGTGTGTGTGTGTGTGTGTGTGTGTGTGTGTGTGTGTGTGTGTGTGAAAAGTTGCCAAGAAAATATCTCGAGCACAATAGAGAAAGATAACAAGAAACAACCATAGAAGAGAAATTTGCAGATGAAATTAAAATTTAAATTTCACACAATCTGGGAAAGGAAGACGTTTTACCAAACCTGGATGAATATTAAGAATATAATTCAAACCACTGCAGAAGAATGTCTTGGTGTGTCCACCATAAACAGAAAGAACAAATGGTTTGCTACAAAATGCGAAGCAGCAGTCACTAAAAAAAACAGCATGCCAGGCAGATGTTGCTAAATGATAGTAGTAACATACAAAATTTAAAAATATATATATATATCATAATGTAAAGACGCTAAAAAAAATAGTAAGGCAGCAAAAGAGAGAATACATGAAGAAGATTGTCATGGATATGGAAGCTAACCATCAGAACAACGAATCCACGAAGTGTTTTAAGAAGAAAGTGTTTTAAGAACAAAGTGTTTTAAGGCTGTAAAGTGATGGCGTCAAAACAGCCTGAATAGTTTAAAAGATAAAAATAATGATGAGGAAATTTGTAGCAGATGGAAAGAATAATTTGCTGAACTGTTATTTTGTGAAACTCCACTAAATACTTATCCAGAAGCTAGAGACTCATGTGAACTAAATATTGAAGAGCATGCTTTTAAAGAAGTACTGCTTGTCATAACACGGCTTAAAAACGCTACAGCATCTGGTGCTGATGGAATTGCAGCTGAACCTATAAAAGAAGGTGCTCATGCATTACGTGTAAAGGTATATAACAAAATTGGTTTGGAAGACACAGAAATTACCCTACGGGTGGAAAAAGTCATTATTGATACTCATTTTTTAATAAAGGAGACAAGCATAAACTGATATTCACAAGCTATAAAATACTATTGGCGGTACTGTCAAATTGGCTAAAATTTTACATCGAAGATTATATACTGGGAGATTACCAAACGGGTTTCCAACAGAACAGATCAACAATATATCAGATATTCATTTTACGGCAAATAGCAGAGCAAAAAACTAGATGTAGAAGAGCTGTACATAATGTTTCTGTGGATTTGAAAAAGGCGAATGATAGTGTACATAGAAACAGTTAATGGAATGCTGTGAAGGACTTTGAAATGCTAAAGATGTTAATCGTCATGATCAAACTAGGTATGGAAGACACTTATAATATAGTAACATATAAAGGCAGAAAGTCAGAGGCTTTTTAAAAAACATCTGGTTTAAAGCAAGGTGATGCTCTGTCCCCACTTCTTTTCAACTTATCCCTGGAGAAAATTATAAGGAAATTGAAACAAGAGTGTCCTATAGGAGAATCTACAAGAATACTTGGTTATGCTGATGATATTGCTGTCGTTGGAGAAAATGAACTAGAGTGTAAAAAGAAAAAAAAAACACTGACTCTCTTAAAAGAAGCAGCTCACACAATGGGACTAGTTGTCAATCAAGATAAGACAGAATATATGGTCATAACAAGACAGGGAAATAAAATTAACTCCGGCTACAAACAAATAATATGAAGATCAAACAAACGGGAGAACATAATTACTTTGATGTACTCTTCAACTGTTCCAACATGATGAGAGAAAAAATACAATCTAGAATACAAACTAGAAATAGAGTATACTAAGCTTATCAACATCTGCTAAAGCCAAAGTCTCCATCTCGCAAGACCAAGATCAAAATATATAAAACAGTCGTTTTATATAGCTAAAAAAGATGAGACGTTAATACAAATTTTCGAAGAGTCTTACGACGAATCTTCGGACCAATTCAAACATGCAAACAGCGGGAAATGGAGAGTGACACTCAACTATGGAATTCATCATTTGTTTAAATCACCACTGATCACTGACATCAGGAGAGCTAATAGACTGAAATGACTGGGGCATATTGAGAGGACGTCAGAGGACTGATTAGGGATGTTACCTTCGAAGTCAGAGTACATGTGCCTAAGAGCTGAGAAACCAACAGTCTGCGTACTGACTAGAGCATTTTAAAGGGGGGAAACTCACTGAACAGATAAATCAATGTTTGCAGTCCATTTTATCGTCCAGAATATTTGAGTCCTTATCCTATGATTGTTCAGGGCTGTCTAATGGTGGAATATTGTTCTCCTAAAGAAAATCCACAACATTTTCTGTTTGATACTTTGATCGATGAGAACAGATGGGGACGAACATCAAGAAACGTTGCACAGGGTTACAGTCTTGAATGTCTCGGTCTGTAAATGTAAGTTGATCTGTATGTAAGATGTGTATAGTGTAATCTACGCTCATTGAATAATACGTTGACTTCTACTTGCCCAGGGACAGTAAAGAGAAACGATTGTCCCACTCATTCAATCAACACTTCACTCCAATACTCCTGCTTTGAGTGATGGAATGTGTGTGTGTGTGTGTGTGTGTGTGTGTGCGCGCGCGCCCCTGATAAGCATATATATAGTTAAGTCGACTAGCTTAGTGTGTTTTTTTTTCAGGTCGGAGTGCATCTGCCTGAGAGGTGTGCAACCAACAGTCTGCATATAAATATTTTAAATGTGTAACATGGATGCAGACGCAAAACTCAAGTTATGGAATAAGACTTCAATCCAGAAGTGAATGAACAACTAGAACTTGAAGTTTACAGCCATCAGATGCACAGAAGAAGCAGAAGAAAGTTATTTACTCCGTATATTCAGGAAACTAAAGACGCCATTTTGCTTACCTCGGCAACAGTTTGTGGATAATCAGCGCTGGAATCTCCCGGAGGTAGTCTGTGGCTGACTGTATGAGAGGCTATCTCGTGTCCATTACTGGCCAAAGCTTTGACGTAATTGTAGTCTGTATACTCATGATTGATGTAGAACGCCGCTCTGGGTGAACAGAAAATATAATGATCGTACAACTGCTGTACCTAGCACTCTGTTGTTCATAAAGTCAGGAACAAGTTAAGGACCTTTAGCCCGCAAATTGTCAATCTCACATGCAGTGCTAGACCTTTATTTTATTGATCAATCGACACTTAGAGTGGTCAACATCACACTGGCTGCCTTTACTTCCCAGGACATAATCTTTTACCTATTTTTGGCTTGGTCGACATGGAAGCTAAGCTCAGTTTTGATGGCATAAAACCCCGTTTCAGTTGGCACCTAGCAAACTTATTGGACATAGCAATTTGTTATTTCTTGGCAGTACCTAACAAACTTGTTGTACATAGCACCGTGCTATTTCTTGGCAGTACACAGCATACTTGTTGTACATAGCACCGTGTTTTATCTTGGCAGTACTTAGCAAACATGTTGTACATAGCACCGTGCTATTTCTTGGCAGTACACAGCATACTTGTTCTACATAGCACAGTGTTATATCTTGGCAGTACCTGGCAAACTTGTATTAGATAGCACGTGTTATATCTTGGCAGTACTTAGCAAACTTGTACATAGCACCGTGTTATATCTTGGCAGTACTTAGCAAACTTGTTGTACATAGCACCGTGTTATATCTTGGCAGTGCCTAGCAAACGTGTTCTACATAGCACCGTGTTTATATCTTGGCAGTACCATGCAAACTTGTTCTACATAGCAACTGTGATTCTGGTGATCGTGTGGGATGGCGAATCATGGCAGTCTACGCTTGCCGGCACGGCACATGAGGATGATGACAGTGCTGTGCCGATTAACTTATGACTTATTGACTGGGAGCAATATGCAATACACATACCGTGCACATTGTTGTACCAAGAAATGTGCAATACACCCACCGTGTACACTGCTGTACAGAGAAACGTGCCATACACCCACCGTGTACACTGTTGTACCGAGAAATGTGTAATACACCCACCTTGTACACTGTTGTACGGACAAATAGTCCGAGAAGTAGTCCGAAGATCACCGGTTCGAAGTCGCAACGATAGTTATTTAAAAATATAAATGACCTTGGCTCCAGGACTAATGTCTGTGTGTACGTACTGTAACTAGAGTGTATGCGTGTACGTACAGTATAGAGCTGTAACTAGAATGTCTGTGTGAACATACTGTACACAACTGTAACTAGAGTGTCTGTGTGTACATACTGTACACAACTGTAACTACAGTGTTTTGTGTTTCGTATAAAACTGTAACTAGTGTCTTTCTTCTTCTTTTGTCGTCTGACTAATACCAGGATGTAGCCCGTGTCGTATTTTTCTGTATTTGTCATGGACTTCTCAGGTGGCTTGGGTGATGAATTTGTTAGCACTTTTGCAGATTTCAGCTACACCGTTTATCCATACTTTTTTGGTATTCCTCTCACCTTCCTGCCAGATGTTCAGCTGTAAAAAGTATTATATGCAGTTTTTTGGCCCAACCATTTCATTTTTTGTTTGTCAAAATAATCAAGGCATGGTCTTATTCTAAATGTATCTATAATGCTGGTATTTGTAACCCTGTCTCTTTTTGTGTTGACAGTAACCTTGCAGAGACATCCCATTACGTATTTTTTATTTTATTTTCTAGTGCCCTATTTATTGTCAAGGTTTGGCACTGGTAACATAGAGTTATGATAAAGATGCTATTACTGATTTGCTGTTTTGCTGAGAAGGGGACATTTTGGTGTCTAAGCAGTTGGGCTAACTGGTAGGTTACAGCATTTGCCTTCTGTACTCTGGCTTCTATCTTTATCGAGCCTATCATCCTCCGTAAATATGCTTCCTTGAATTTGAATTCTCGTACTTGTTTGATTGTAGTACCGTTTACATGCACGTTAATGATATTTTGTTTCCTGCTAATTCTCACTGCCTCAGTTTTCGCGGTGTTTATTCTCCTGTTATACTTTTTGCAGGCTTGATGTAAGCAGTCAATATGGTGTTGTAAATTCTGCTCTTTATGGTGTATTGATCGTATGCAAAAAGATCTTCATTAATTTTTTAAGATTCTGTATTTGCTTTCTGGGTAATTGTAGCCATGTAAGTAATTAACAGCAATGGTGAGACGATACATCCCTGCCTGACACATGATAATATTGAAAATAAGTCTGTCATTCCGTCTCTTAATCACTAACTATATTATTAAAAAGCCGTAATGTTCTCAACAATTGATCTCGAATACCATAATCTTCTGGAATTGTCCATACTGTATAGAACAGTCACTATAGTGTCTGTGTGTACGCACTGTATGGGACAGTTTTAATCTATGCATCTGTACTGTAGACAAAAGTTTCTATCTGTCCATACCTACTATATAGGACAGTTTCTATCTGTGCATACCTACCATACATAGAAGTTTCTATTTGTCCATACCTACTATATAGGACAGTTTCTATCTGTGCATACCTACCATACATAGAAGTTTCTATTTGTCCATACTTACCATATAGGACAGTTTCTATATGTGCATACCTACCATATAGGACAGTTTCTATATGTGCATACCTACCGTATAGGACAGTTTCTAAATGTGCATACCTACTGTATAGGACAGTTTCTATATGTGCATACCTACCGTATAGGGCAGTTTGTATCTGTGCATACCTACCGTATAGGACAGTTTGTATCTGTGCATACCTACCGTATAGGACAGTTTGTATCTGTGCATACCTACCCTATAGGACAGTTTGTATCTGTGCATACCTACCGTATAGGACAGTTTGTATCTGTGCATACCTAATGTATAGGACAGTTTGTATCTGTGCATACCTACCGTATAGGACAGTTTGTATCTGTGCATACCTACCGTATAGGACAGTTTGTATCTGTGCACACCTACCGTATAAGGCAGTTTGTATCTGTGTATACCTACCCTATAGGACAGTTTGTATCTGTGCATACCTACCGTATAGGACAGTTTGTATCTGTGCACAACTACCGTATAGGACAGTTTGTATCTGTGCACACCTACCGTATAAGACAGTTTGTATCTGTGTATACCTACCCTATAGGACAGTTTGTATTTGTGTATACCTACCCTTTAGGACAGTTTGTATCTGTGTATACCTACCCTATAGGGCAGTTTGTATCTGTGTATACCTACCCTATAGGACAGTTTGTATCTGTGTATACCTACCCTATAGGACAGTTTGTATCTCTGCATTCCTACCGTATAGGGCAGTTAGTATCTGTGCATACCTACCGTATAGGGCAGTTTGCATTTGTGCATACCTACCCTATAGGACAGTTTGTATCTGTGTATACCTACCCTATAGGACAGTTTGTATCTGTGTATACCTACCCTACAGGACAGTTTGTATATGTGTATACTTACCCTATAGGGCAGTTTGTATCTGTGTATACCTACCTATAGGGCAGTTTTCATTTGTGCATACCTACCGTATAGGACAGTTTGTATCTGTGCATACCTACCATATAGGACAGTTTTCATCTGTGCATACCTACCGTATAGGGCAGTTTGTATCTGTTCATACCTACCGTATAGGACAGTTTGTATCTGTGCATACCTACCTATAGGGCAGTTTTCATCTGTGCATACCTACCGTATAGGACAGTTTGTATCTGTGTATACCTACCTATAGGGCAGTTTTCATCTGTGCATACCTACCGTATAGGACAGTTTGTATCTGTGCATACCTACCATATAGGACAGTTTTCATCTGTGCATACCTACCATATAGGGCAGTTTGTATCTGTGCATACCTACCGTATAGGACAGTTTGTATCTGTGCATACCTACCTATAGAGCAGTTTGTATCTGTGCATACCTACCGTATATGGCAGTTGTATCTGTGCATACGTACCGTATATGGCAGTTTGTATTTGTGCATACCTACCGTATAGGACAGTTTGTATCTGTGCATACCTACCGTATAGGGCAGTTTGTATCTGTGCATACCTACCGTATAGGGCAGTTTGTATCTGTGCATACCTACCGTATAGGGCAGTTTGTATCTGTGCATACCTACCGTATAGGACAGTTTGTATTTGTGCATACCTACCGTATAGGACAGTTTGTATCTGTGCATACCTACCGTATAGGGCAGTTTGTATCTGTGCATACCCACCGTATAGGGCAGTTGTATCTGTGCATACATACCGTATAGATCAGTTTCTATCTGTGCATACCTACCTATAGGGCAGTTGTATCTGTGCATACATACCGTATATGGCAGTTTGTATCTGTGCATACCTTCCTTTAGGGCAGTTTGTATCTGTGCATACATACCGTATAGGGCAGTTTGTATCTGTGCATACATACCGTATAGGGCAGTTGTATCTGTGCATACATACCGTATAGGGCCGTTTGTATCTGTGCATACCTGCCTTTAGGGCAGTTTGTATCTGTGCACACATACCGTATAGAGCAGTTTGTATCTGTGCATACCTACCTATAGGGCAGTTTGTATCTGTGCATACATACCGTATAGAGCAGCTGTATCTGTGCATACATACCGTATAGGGCAGTTTGTATCTGTGCATACCCACTGTATAGGGCAGTTTGTATCTGTGCATACCCACCGTATAGGGTAATTGTATCTGTGCATACATACCGTATAGATCAGTTTCTATCTGTGCATACCTACCTATAGGGCAGTTGTATCTGTGCATACATACCGTATATGGCAGTTTGTATCTGTGCATACCTTCCTTTAGGGCAGTTTGTATCTGTGCATACATACCGTATAGGGCAGTTTGTATCTGTGCATACATACCGTATAGGGCAGTTGTATCTGTGCATACATACCGTATAGGGCCGTTTGTATCTGTGCATACCTGCCTTTAGGGCAGTTTGTATCTGTGCACACATACCGTATAGAGCAGTTTGTATCTGTGCATACCTACCTATAGGGCAGTTTGTATCTGTGCATACATACCGTATAGAGCAGCTGTATCTGTGCATACATACCGTATAGGGCAGTTTGTATCTGTGCATACCCACTGTATAGGGCAGTTGTATCTGTGCATACATACAGTATAGATCAGTTTCTATCTGTGCATACCTACCTATAGGGCAGTTGTATCTGTGCATACATACCGTATATGGCAGTTTGTATCTGTGCATACCTGCCTTTAGGGCAGTTTGTATCTGTGCACACATACCGTATAGGGCAGTTTGTATCTGTGCATACCTACCGTATAGGGCAGTTTGTATCTGTGCAAACCTACCGTATAGGGCAGTTTGTATCTATGCATACCTACCGTATATATCAGTTTGTATCTGTGCATACATACCGTATAGAGCAGTTGTATCTGTGCATACATACCATATAGGGCAGTTTGTATCTGTGCATACCTACCGTATAGGGCAGTTTGTATCTGTGCATACATACCGTATAGAGCAGTTTGTATCTGTGCATACCTACCTATAGGGCAGTTTGTATCTGTGCATACATACCGTATAGAGCAGCTGTATCTGTGCATACATACCGTATAGGGCAGTTTGTATCTGTGCATACCCACTGTATAGGGCAGTTGTATCTGTGCATACATACAGTATAGATCAGTTTCTATCTGTGCATACCTACCTATAGGGCAGTTGTATCTGTGCATACATACCGTATATGGCAGTTTGTATCTGTGCATACCTGCCTTTAGGGCAGTTTGTATCTGTGCACACATACCGTATAGGGCAGTTTGTATCTGTGCATACCTACCGTATAGGGCAGTTTGTATCCGTGCAAACCTACCGTATAGGGCAGTTTGTATCTATGCATACCTACCGTATATATCAGTTTGTATCTGTGCATACATACCATATAGGGCAGTTTGTATCTGTGCATACCTACCGTATAGGGCAGTTTGTATCTGTGCAAACCTACCGTATAGGGCAGTTTGTATCTATGCATACCTACCGTATATATCAGTTTGTATCTGTGCATACATACCGTATAGAGCAGTTGTATCTGTGCATACATACCATATAGGGCAGTTTGTATCTGTGCATACCTACCGTATAGGGCAGTTTGTATCTGTGCATACATACCGTATAGAGCAGTTTGTATCTGTGCATACCTACCTATAGGGCAGTTTGTATCTGTGCATACATACCGTATAGAGCAGCTGTATCTGTGCATACATACCGTATAGGGCAGTTTGTATCTGTGCATACCCACTGTATAGGGCAGTTGTATCTGTGCATACATACAGTATAGATCAGTTTCTATCTGTGCATACCTACCTATAGGGCAGTTGTATCTGTGCATACATACCGTATATGGCAGTTTGTATCTGTGCATACCTGCCTTTAGGGCAGTTTGTATCTGTGCACACATACCGTATAGGGCAGTTTGTATCTGTGCATACCTACCGTATAGGGCAGTTTGTATCTGTGCAAACCTACCGTATAGGGCAGTTTGTATCTATGCATACCTACCGTATATATCAGTTTGTATCTGTGCATACATACCATATAGGGCAGTTTGTATCTGTGCATACCTACCGTATAGGGCAGTTTGTATCTGTGCATACATACCGTATAGAGCAGTCTGTATCTGTGCATACCTACCTATAGGGCAGTTTGTATCTGTGCATACATACCGCATAGAGCAGCTGTATCTGTGCATACATACCGTATAGGGCAGTTTGTATCTGTGCATACCTACCGTATAGGGCAGTTTGTATCTGTGCATACGTACCGTATAGGGCAGTTTTTATATGTGCATACATACCGTATATGGCAGTTTGTATCTGTGTATACCTACCGTATAGGGCAGTTTGTATCTGTGCATACCTACCGTATAGGGCAGTTTGTATCTGTGCATACGTACCTATAGGGCAGTTTGTATCTGTGTATACCTACCGTATAGGACAGTTCGTATCTCTGCATACCTACCGTATCGGGCAGTTTGTAATTTGGCATACCTAACGTATAGAGCAGTTCGTATCTGTGCATACCTACCGTATAGGACAGTTCGTATCTGTGCATACCTACCGTATAGGACAGTTTGTATCTGTGCATACATACCGTATAGGACATCCGCTGGGGTTCCACAGCTGGAATTTGTTATCGACCAGTAGAGACTTGAAATAGCCATTGTAAACAGTTGATGTGACGGCATCGTCGAACGTCAGCATAATAAACATGGGCGTATCCGCCAGAGGTATGCTGGGGCGTTCTCCGAAACAAAAACAATCGGGAGGTTTACAAGTGTCCAGATTGCAGGGTCCAGGTTGTTCTGTGCTGTATTCCCTGGTTGTCAACGTTGTGTACAACTGTGTGCTGGATTTCCTGGTTGCATTTGAAGAAGTCGCTGGCGTGTTTGTTGCTGTTGATTGTGATGATGCTGGTACTTTCTGTGTAGTATCTACAACAGATACAAGTATATTTAATTGTGTTGACTATGTTTTAAAATAGGAGTATGCTATGTAGAAAAAGTTAGCTAGGTACTTTTGTATATCAGATCTAATAAGAACCAGTTTTTTTTTTTAAACAACTGAATGCTACCTGAGTTAAATTCAGACCCTTCCAGAAACTAATGAAGGCAAAATAATAACAAGAGATGAGATAAGGATACGGAAGTCTAAGACTGAAACTATTTGCAGTTTTTTTTTTTATTTACGAGCAGCTTGTGAGAAGGTTTGGTCATCTGACAAGAATGCCCTGTTACTAGCTGTCACAGAGAGCCTCGATGAAGAAATATAATAGGCACCGATAAAGGAGAAGACCATGCAGACAATGAAACGATAGCACCAAAAACAGAATCCAAGAAGTGAAAACTAATATTTACAACGCATTGATAAGAGCACACAGAAAATACTGGCATCTTCTCCAAACACCTTGATTAAGTAACTGGAGTGAAGAAGAAGAAGATGTTTAATCAAGTATACAGAATCTAATTCATGTTCGTGAATTTGCTAACTCATTTTAGCTCTGTGTTGTGTCTGTGTGAGTGGGTGCTGTGTCTGTGTGTGTGTGTGTGTGCTGTGTCTGTTATTTTGCGTCTGTGTGAGTGTTGTGTATGTATGAGTGTTGAGTCTGTGAGTGCTGTATCTGGGTGAATGTTGTGAATGCCAGAGAGTGTAGTGTGTGTGTAATCAATGTGTTGGCCTCTGTGTGTGTAAAGGTGTTATGTATGTGTGTGTGTAAGTGTATGTGTGTAATCAATGGGTGCGCCTTTGTGTGTGGAAATATGTTGTATATGTGTGTGTGTGCATGTGAGTGTCTGCGATATGTGACTATTGTTGCAAATGTCCTCCATGCTTTGAATTTTTATTTTACGTTTAAACTGTGAATTTTAATATAAGAACAAAATATGCTTGATAGATAAAAAGCAACTGCCATATGAAAAGTGAATGCTAGAAAGGGCTGAATGTAATACGGGCCTGCGTGCCCAATTTGTAACCCTTTGGAAAAAAAGTGTTTTTTTGTTCTTTCTGTAACTTTCTTTACTCCTCCACCGACTCCTCATTCTTCTTCTTCTTCTTCTTCTTCTTCTTCTTATCCTTAATCTCCCTCTCATCCACTTCGTCCATTTTACCCAGTTGCCTCATCAAAGTGTTGGGTGGGGGGTAGGGGGGGCGTGGGTTGGGCTAAAGATGCTCAGTGCGTTCTTTCTAATGTTTAATTCGGTCCTTATTCTAAAGATTAGTCTGGACGCCGTTGCTCCATCTATCTTTTTTTTTCCTCTTGCTCTTTGCTCATTACAATTCTTCAGCGTGGCTCTCAGTGGTAATCGATACCAGGGCGTTCCCTTTCGATCGCCACGCCAGTTCATCTGTGGTTCCTTAGTGACATGCTTTTTTTTTTTTTTTTTACACGATTTGGTCAAAAGGGGTTTAAAATTAACACTACAGAAATAAAGGAATTAGGACAACAATGGAACACAGCCCGAGTCAGAGGCTGACGATACAAGTCAACAAGTTGAAGGTCATTTACACCCTTAGTGCTAGAGCCCATTGTGACGCCATAACTTCCGACCTAAGAATGGTTACACGAAAGGGAGCCGACTTTACTCTAACCAGCTCAGTCTCTGTCTGTAGAGGGCCACGGCGGCTGCTCGGAACATCGCTTAGAGCCGTCTTTCACATCGGATGGCTGCTGACTTCTGGCAAAAAGTGTTGAGGGGAAACACATTTAAGAGCTCTATGATAAATTTTACATCAAAAACTAACAACTTGAGACTCCTTTTTTCGAATCGATTTAAAAAAAAAAAAAAAAAATTTGTTCGGTGTTGTTGTTATAATGAATGGGTTCCGTGGTGGACATTACAAAAAACAAGAGAGGTCCCGACGACCTGGTTAGTTATTTGAAAAGCGCTGGCGTAGAGCACGAACTCTAGCTTCAATGAGGAATAATATGGGACTGTTCTACCGAAGACGTAATCCATAACACATCCAGGACCCTGAGAAGTCATTCCATTTCGAGGGTTTTATTACTGCAGTTACTGCCTATGATAGAGTGAACAACCCCGTCACTGGCTGACGTTACAAATGGCAATCTAGATATTCTGGAAGAGACGATCACCCGAAGACAACTTACCACAAACATCAGAAACAGGCAATCATCATTTTATATTAGCTACAGACAATTATTAACCTAGTAAGGGCAACATATGCAGACTTGAAACCTCAATTTCTTTATGAGGGAAAGCAAACAGATACATGTGAAATACAAATAGGTGTGTCACAGGGATGTCTTTTGTAGCCTCTTCTATTTTGACTGGCAATAGATTGGATTTTGAAGAGCAACTGCCAACACCAAGAATGGAATTCAGTGGAGCCCTACAAAACAGCTTGATGATCTGGACTTCAATGATAATATTTCTTTTATGTTCCTCCTTTGGAATCAGATGCAAGATAAATTAAATATACTTGATGCGATATAACAATAACTAGTCTCAAAACCATCAAGGGACAGACAAAGATAATGAATGAGGCAAAGAGTAATATGGTTTCTCTTTAATGGTATCCCACTCCAAGACGTGAAGTCGTACGCCTATTTGGGCAGAAATTTAGATAAAGATGGGGGAACTGACAGAGATATTTAAAAAAATAATAAAAGCACGAGGAGTTTTCATAGCACTAAGAAATTAGTGGAAGTCAAAAGAAATTATAACAATTACTAAACTTAAAAAAAACAAACTAATTCTAATGTTAAATCAGTACTGTTGTATGGAGTTGAAAAACGGAGAACAACTAACGCAATTAATAATAAACTACAAACAATCATTGACTGGTGCCTTCGCAGAATAGAGGAATTAAATGGTATGACAGAATCACTAATGTAGAGCTTTGGGAGAGAACTAAACAAGTTCCACCGGACCAAGAGGTGAAGAAAGACGCTGGCGTTGGATAGGACACACGTTGAGAAAACATGAGAACAGTATAACTAGAATGTCTTCTTTGCATATGAACCCTCAAGAACATAGAAATAAAGAGGACCAAAAAAAAAAAAAAAAAAAAACCAGGGAAAAAGGAACTAGAGGTTGAAATTAAAAAGATGGGGAGGAGGTGGAGAGAGCTGCATGCGATAGCGAAGGGCCGAACGACTTGGCCTGATTTGGTTCGGGTATTATGCTCCATTTTGGGTTAGAAAGGCAGAAGAAGAAGAATGTATAAGAGAAACAAACTGTAACATATAATACATTTTGAGAGAAAAATATATGGAGAGAGAAACGAACGAACGAACGAATGAACTAACGAACGAACAAACTATATTCTCAAAGGGTTAGGGGCTCGGTACGCAGACCCCTTTAACATTCTGCCATTCTAGTCTCCCTTCTTTCATACATCATTTCATTCATACATCATTTCATTAATTCATACATCATTTCATTCATACATCATTTCATTAATTCATACATCATTTCATTCATACATCGAGTAATAGTAAACATTCTCAATAGATCAGGTATATTCAATACAAGCACTGGAATGTGCCGATTTCCCTCTGATCGCCAAGCGTCCAATTAGTTGGCCGCTCTGCACTGGAAAGACGAAAAGAGACAATACTGAAGCCACAAGTTGTATACCTGATGTTGTGGCCCCTCCAGCAAGGGAACATGTAGCCGCTTCAGGCCAGGTGCACGTTTTAGACACGATATCGTACCTGGGAGAAAAACGAAGGACAATAACGTGTTTACGAGTGTAAGAACAATAATTCCGTATCGATTAGAGAATGTTGTGAACTAGCCCCGACATTTCTTGGTCAAAACCTCAAATCTTTAAACCTCAAAACCATTTCTTGGCTGTTTGTTTTTTTACTAACACGTAACGTCCATAAAATGACCCACAGCTGGAATCAAGCCTGATAGTTCAGAATTTCAAACCGTGTTGACAACCTCTAATCCACAGACAGCTTTAGGACATTGCTGTTATTCCATCAACATCATCATGCTCAACATTGTCATCCTCATCATCGTCATCGTCATCGGCGTCTATCGCTTCCTCATTATCACCCCATTCTGCCCATTATCATTCAGATTATTTCGATGAAATGTATCTTCTTCCTCTTCTTCTTCTTCTTCTTCTTCTTCTTCTTCTTCTTCTTCTTCTTCTTCTTCTTCTTCTTCTTCTTCTTCTTCTTCTTCTTCTTCTTCTTCTTCTTCTTCTTCTTCTTCTTCTTCTTCTTCTTCTTCTTCTTCTTCTTCTTCTTCTTCTTCTTCTTCTTCTTCTTCTTCTTCTTCTTCTTCTTCTTCTTCTTCTTCTTCTTCTTCTTCTTCTTCTTCTTCTTCTTCTTCTTCTTCTTCTTCTTCTTCTTCTTCTTCTTCTTCTTCTTCTTCTTCTTCTTCTTCTTCTTCTTCTTCTTCTTCTTCTTCTTCTTCTTCTTCTTCTTCTTTTACCGCTTCAAGTGTCGATGGATATGTAAGATTCTTCTTCCTGTTCTTCTGGCCGCCTTGACAACAGACACATTGTAGTGTAGAGTTTCTCTTGTGTTAGCTTTTCTTATTGTTCTCGTTCCTGTTCATCTTTCAGTGCACACCTTACAAGGCTATTGCGTCATAAGGCATTCTCTCTAAGTGAGAAAAACAACTTGATTTTCTGCTTATGTATGCAATTTAGAATCGGTTTTGTCCCGACTTTGTTTTTCTTCTTCTTCTTTTGGCCTCATTTCTGATTCGATCTGTTCTGGTCACTTCTGCAGTCCTTCTCCGACATTTCATTTCCGTCTCGAGCAAATACTTTCCACAAGAAGGAGGAGAAGAAGAAGAAGAAGAAGAAGAAGAAGAAGAAGAAGAAGAAGAAGAAGAAGAAGAAGAAGAAGAAGAAGAAGAAGAAGAAGAAGAAGAAGAAGAAGAAGAAGAAGAAGAAGAAGAGAAGAAGAAGAAGAAGAAGAAGAAAAAAGAAGAAGAAGATGGGAAAAGAAGAAGAAGAAGAAGAAGAAGAAGAAGAAGAAGAAGAAGAAGAAGAAGAAGAAGAAGAAGAAGAAGAAGAAGAAGAAGAAGAAGAAGAAGAAGAAGAAGAAGAAGAAGAAGAAGAAGAAGAAGAAGAAGAAGAAGAAGAAGAAGAAGAAGAAGGAGAAGAAGAAGAAGAAGGAGAAGAAGAAGAAGATATTATGAACTGAACCATCGGTGCCAAGTGGGTGTTGTGGTCAACATGACGAAGTGAGCATTTACATTCTATGAAGTTTTTATTCTGCCTAGTTTAGGTTGAGTGATGGAGATCCTATGTCAATTGCATAAATCGTTGCGAATTCGCTTAGCTCGACCATCAGACAAGTAAACAAGCCTTTCACTGAATGTACAAGCGTCTACTTTACCTGAGCGAAGAACCACACGGCTGTATATAGACAATTCCATTGCTGCACGTCACATATCGTCTGCCTGTGTCTCCTTCAGTCTCCCCGGCAGCTAACGAATGGCACGCGGTCTCTTCATTCTGTAAAGTTCGAGTACCTTCACTGGTGTCTGCCACACAGTCTCCAGCCACTTCCGTACCGTAGTGCAGAAGTACAGCCACCAATAGGATCATTTGTTTTTGAATCATTTTCTCCTGAGATCTAGTTAGGCTTAATGAGGAGATTGAAACAAATCATTAGTATGCTCACAAGAGAAAAAATAATACAACTTTCATTAATGAAACAAACGATTTATAAATCAGCTAAATTAAAGAATTTATTTTCTTCACAAACGCCTTTACCACTTAGGGCGTCGAAGGAGTTCTAAAGTTCGGTTCCTTGCTCTTTTGGTCGCCTCGACAGACACATGGTGCTGTTGTAGAGTTTCTCTGATGTGATCTATCTTTCGTGTTCTTGATCTACTTTGTTCTCTACGCCTCTGTCCTCTTTTGGTCTATGCCTTCTGTGGTATTTCATGGCAAGACATTCTCTTTAAGTTGGCAAACCATTTTATTCTCTGTCTTTTTGTGTAATATAGTCAATTTAACTGTCATTGGGCCAAACTGTTTATGTCCGTAATGTCGATGCTGTGCAATACCTCCACCCACAGCTGTATGGCGCTTTGTACCGTAGGTTATCGCTGATAGAAAAATTCTTTAATGCCATGCTGCCAGCCTGCCTAACATCTTATCTCTTGGTCTTCTCCTTAATCTCGTTCTCTGTAACTTTCCTGTTATCACCATATACTTCAGTTGTTCTCTTGTCTTGGCGAACACATAAAACATGTATTTTCTTTCGATCTGAACATGTTATTTTTGTGGGTTCATGTCTTTAAACGCATCTTCATTTTTTTTAAATAACTTATCTAAACACCCACCGAATTAATTATAAATAAAGCAAATTATGTATAAATTAGCAAACTTAATTGTCTTGGCAAGCTTTCCAAGGCTCAATATATACACGAACTAACCAGAGCCGCTGTAGCGTTGTTGCAAGACACAGGGCTACTTCACTGGCTGCCCGCGGGCCAGATCTGGCCCGTGGAGGCCCAGCAAGCGGCCCGGGTATCATTCTCAGTCCTATTGTATTAGTGATCCTTCTTATACTGGGAATCGGGGCCTCTGGCCCGTGACGATCCCATTGAAACATATTGGCTCCTGGGTCAGTTGATTTGAATGCCCTGTGCTCTCGTCAATCGGAAGGCCTGAAGTTTAAGTCCGTGTCCTGTCGGTTTATTTTCAAACTCGATCTTGGCTAACAGGTCGACCTGACTTATAATGGGTACCTGGTAATGTACTGGGAAATAAAAGTGACCAGCGTGAGGGTAACAACAATACTACTGAATGCTGACTGATTTCTAAAAATACAATATATACATATATATACATGTATTATATATATATATATAAACACATAAGTCTAGCAGCATACACTCGCAGCCCTTTCCATGATAATGATCTCCCTTTCATGTTTTCATGGCTGTCTGTGTTTGGACTCAGCATTTTTTTTACCCTGTTGGTTGCAGTACAAAGACATTCTAGCAATTGTTTACCAGGTGTTTTCAATGTCTGTCTTATCCAGCATGGACGCCTGTTGATTCGCGGAGTTTCATCCCCTCTCAAAGTTAGATGCTAGTAAAAGCGAGATTTGGTTTTATAGAAACTGTTGAGACCACGATTGTGTAGGAGGCAATGTTTAATTAGAAAACGTGACTGCCGCAGAGTCAAAAAAATCCAGAGGTTAATTCAACATTAAAACATACTCATTATTGAATTATCTCCTAAAAGTACCATTAACAGACAAGCTACTAAATTAAGATGGCTTGAAAGCAATTAATTAGCAAAGATAACGATTAACTCTCATCAGATTAAGGCAGTCCGCATTCTTTGACCATTACATGAGAAGGGAAAACCCGAAGTAAAGTCGTGACAACGGAAAAACTCAGGGGAAATGGGATACGCGAAGATAGGAAAGTTTGACATCAGGGATGCCTATATCCCGGTTGACTGACAATACACTAAAAAGCAGGATGTGCACAGACATAAAGACTGACGCAACTAAAACACGATATGCCTCATTTAGTTTCAACGACACAATCTCTTCATTTTTTATACATTTCATCACTAACACATCTCCATAACACCGGGATATGTTGGGTCACCAGTTAATATTGGCTGTCTGGTCTATTCCCTTTGTCGATCAGATGCAATAGACTGACTTCCTTTTTGCAAATAAAAGGCCTGTCCAGTCAGCCAAGTTGTGAATGCAGGTCCTTCTTGGTCTTTCTTCTACTCTTCCCTTTTTCTTGGTCCTGTAGAAATGTTTTGGAGAAGCCTGTAGATCTTATTACATGACGCTACCAGTGCACTTTCCGTCTTGACATTGTTGCTAAATAGGCTCATAGTTGCCAGATGTGTTGTGTGATGTTACAGTAAGCTTCCTCGTTTGTTGTAGTCTCTGTATATATCAAGAACTTTCAAGAAGATCGCATTTTCCCATTATACATTTAATGTTGACAAAACCAACGTATTGTTGTAGATTAATGACGGATACATTGATCACCCGGAACAAACCTCTGGCCATTGTTGTCGGTAATCGTATGCATTTTTACCAATGAAGAAATTTGTTGTTACGCTCGTATACTTCACTCCAATCCAAGGGTAGCAGACTGGACATATAGTCTTCTCATATTATGTTTTAACAGATGAAAGGACTGCAGTTTTACCAGTGAAACCCTCATCCACAAACGGAAGTAGAATAGTTAGTTGTGTATCCTTTACAGGACGTTGCAGAACCAACGTCATCATTATTTTGGCTGTTGTGGTTTCTCTTGGCAAATTTTACCTCCTTTTTTGCCATAGAAGTAGAATACATTAGATAAAATAGGTCCCTAAACGGGCTCATTTAAAAAAAATACAAAACTCTAACCCATAATAAGTAAAGTAAAAGTCCCTTTTTCATCCGTATTGGGAATATAGGGCTTGAACAATATTTTTTAGACCAGTCGGTACATGGTGGGTGATGTGGTCAGTATTACCTCAACCGCCTTTACTTCCCATGAATGCACCTGGTACCCATAAAGGCTGGGTCGATCTAGGAGTCGAGGTCATTTTAAAAAAAAAAAGGTCAGGCTCCGGCAGAACGCGAACCCACGACTTTCCGATCCGCAGGCGTGCGTCTAGCCGCCAACGCCACGGTGACTCCCTCCAACCCATGATTAAATTGTTATATCATCTACGATCTATACAGAGTACCAGCAGCTGTCACGAAGTTTGTGTAATGTCATAAGACTATTCATTATTGAAAACGCTCATAGACTGATCAGTGTTTGAAATGGAATGGTGTTTCTCATAGCAAGCCATTAGCAGGCAGGAAATAACACACAGAAAACGTTTGTTCTGTTAACAAAAATTATGACTGTCGATTAAACGAAACAACGTTCATTATAATGTTGGTTTTACCAAATCTTGCACATCGTTTAAAAAAAAAATACGATATGTATTCATGATTGTTAAAAATTCGAGAGTTGGTAATGAGGATCAACACAGTCAGACACAAGAGGCACACCAGACGTGCAAGAAGTTGAATTAACCAACATAGGGGTGGCACAATGAGCATATGTATATCTCAGTCGGTAGAGCATCAGACTTTTAATCTGAGGGTCAAGGGTTCAAGTCCCTTATTATTATTTTTAAACTGATTGCACAGAATAGAATGGAATGGAGCCCTTCCTGACGTATAATGGCATAACAGGATAATAAATAAATGAATCATTTCATCATATACCATTTGTTCAATTTCCTATTGAGACTATTATGAAACAAATATAATCAGTCAGTAAGCTCAGTCAGGTGCGTACAATATCTCCAACACTCTGTCTTGTCTCGGCTGTATGCCTTCTCATACCGTTTGTTTCTTGATGTATGCAGTCGGCGTCTGTGGCTTAGGCGTTACGAACGCGCTTTGTAATGCCGGGGTACCGGGTTCGATCCCAGCTGCGGGCCTTGCGCCTTGCGTTGGTTTCGACAGTGGTATCGAGAAGCCGACCGTCCAGGGGCAATGGCAAACTACTGGACGTAAACTTGCCTAGAAAAACCACAACAGCCAAAAGAAAAATGCTGCAACGTCCTGTAAAGGATACGCAACTTTAAAAAAAAATATCTAGAGGGAAAAATCTGAGCATCTATGGACGTGTCCTGAGGGCCACGATGACAGTCCAACATAACTTGTATGTGTGCACTCCAACAGGGTGTCTTTTGTAGAAAATAAGTTATCAATGGAGTCACCAAAATTTTTTTTTTTAATTGGAAACCATCATCATCATCATGTAGCAGGTCCTTTGCAGAACGTCGCTCTCATCACAGTCTGCCTGTAAGAAACTCATTCTCTTGCCCGTTCTTCCGCCTCATGAACTTTCACACTCAAGGAGTCACTTATATCCTGTGCCCTTCTTCGTGTCGGTCGGCCCCTGCCCTTCCTTCCTGGTACCATGCCTTCTGCTATAATTTTTTCCAATCTGTCGTGGCGCTTGATATGACCAAAATATTTCAGCTTTCGAGAAAGGATGCTGTTTATTAGCCAATCTTCCTTGATGTTCAGATCTTTTAAGATGCCAATATTTCACATCTTTTTTGTCCAAGATATTCTGAGAATCTTTCTATAGCATTTCAGCTCAAAAGCCCCTATTCTCTTTTTTAAGGACTGAGAGATAGTCCACGACTCACATCCGTTTGTAGCCACAGGGAAGATGCATGCTCTCAAAATTCAAATATTTATCTCCTTGCTGGTGCTTAACCATAGACTTTTAAGGCTGTTCAATCTTTGCATTGCTATGGCCATCCTTCTTTTAATTTCTGTCGAACAGTCTCCGTTGTTGTTTATTATAGAGCCTAGATATTCAAAGTTTGTGACATTTTCAATTTCTTCATCATTTATTGTCATTTTTGGGTGACAGCCAGTTTTATCTGTGGACATTATTTTCGTTTTCTTAAAATTCAAGAACAGATTTTGATCTTCACTGTGCTTTTGGACGGACAATATTAAATTTTCTATTTCTTTTACGCTGTTCGAAAGGAGGACTGTGTCATCTGCGTAGCGGAGTTCCGGAATAGGGTTGCCACCAATTTTGAGCGGATCATAACTTTCACAA